TCACCCACATCCAAGAAGACCTTTCACATCAAGCAGACGTTCACCTGCACATCTGCTAATGTGGTATACTGTATCCGTTGTTCCAGATGTGGCCACCCCTACATCGGGGAAAGCAAGTGGAGGCTTGGAGACCGCTTTGCAGAACACCTACGCTCGGTTTGCAACAAACAACTGCATCTCCCAGTCGCGAACCATTTCAACTCCCCCTCCCATTCCTTAGACAACATGTCCATCCTGGGCCTCCTGCAGTGCCACAAAGATGCCGCCCGAAGGTTGCAGGAACAGCGCCTCATATTTAACTTGGGAACCCTGCAGCCCAATGATATCAAAATCTCCCCTCCACCAACCGCATCCCAAAACCAGCCCAGCTTGTTCCCGCCTCCCTAACCAGTCCCTCCTCCCACCTCAAGCCCCACCCCCATCTCCTACCTACTAGCCTCATCCTGCCCCCTTGACCTGTCGTCCTCCCTGGACTGACCTATCCCCTCCCTACCTCCCCACCTACACTCACCTTTACTGGCTCTAACCCCGCCTCTTTGACCTGTCTGTCTCCACTCCACCAGTCTTCTCCCTTATCCATCTTCTATCCGCCTCCCCCCTCTCCCTATTTATTTCAGAATCCCCTTCCCCTCCCCCATTTCTGAAGAAGGGTCTAGGCCCGAAACGTCAGCTTTCCTGCTCCTCTGATGCTGCTTGGCCTGCTGTGTTCATCCAGCTCTACACCCTGTTATCTCACACATACGTGTGCTCAGTTTTTTTTTAAATCTAGCAAGATCTTGGCTTCAAATCCCCCAGTTTAAGCACATGGTTTGGTGCAGTACTGTACTTCAAGAGTACCACACTCATGTTGGAAGTATCACCCCCTCATATTAGACATTTGGATTAAGGTTGTCTGTCCACTCAAATGGGTTATAGAAATTCCTGTGGAGCTATTCAGATAAGAACAGAGGTGTATTTCCAAAGCCTTGGCTAACAATCCCATTTGAAACACTGTTTTCTTTTCATCTCAGCCATTTGTTCTAGATTATAACTTCTTTGAGTTTTGAGAAATGAGTACAAGATGATTACAGGGTGATGAGAGCAATCTCAAACTAAATTAATTTAGACCAAGATGTCTTTTTAAATTGCAAGTTCCTGCAAATGCTCAATTTTTGTCACCTCTCCGTCATTTCTCCAGCAGGAACTATATTATAACATATTACTTATTTATGTTCATATCGTCCTTGTTGAAGCATCTCCATTGATGTAATGTACTCTGACCTTAAAGGAAGAGATGGTCTCAGTGAGCGGCTTAAACAGTAGTATAGCTTGGGCGTTTGGACATTAGAAGCTTTTTAATATGTCCCCGTTAAACAATATGACGTAGAGAGTTTGGCATGAGGAGTTTGGCTGTTTGCCCATTTCCAAAATATTCTGGTCAAGATTACTTGTTCAGAAGTACATTCTTAGAGATCAAGTATTCTTCAAGATCTCCTAATAATTATTTTGAGTCACTTGGACCATTGAAAGTATTGTCATGCATCCGTTTGTATTTAACTTAGTCCCATTGTTTTCGCGAATGTTACCCTGCAAAAATGCTATCCCGTACTCACAGTTCCTCTGCCTCTGCCACATCTGCTGCCAGGATGAGGTGTTCTACTCTAAGACTTCCCAGACATCCGCCTACTTTAGGGACCGTTGTTTCCCTTCCTCTGTTATTAAGGATGCCCCCAACCGCATCTCCCCCATAACCCACGCTTCTGCCCTCAACCCCTCTCCACCCAGCAACAATAAGGATAGAGTCCCCTTAGTCTTTACATACCACCCCACCAGCCTCCAAATACAACGCATTATCCTCTGACATTTCCGCCACCTACAATCAGACCCCACCATCAAAAAGATATTTCCCTCCCTACCCCTGTCTGCTTTCCGCAAGGACCATTCACTCCACAACTCCCTTGTCAGCTTCACACTCCCCACCACACCTGGTACCTTTCCCTGCTTCTGCAGGAGATGCTGCACCTGCTCCTACACCTCCCTTTCAAATCTGGCAGAGATTCATCTGTACTTCATCCATCTTCATCTACTGTACCCATTGCTCCAGATGTGGGCTCCTCTATAGCGGGGAGACTAAACGCAGACTCGGGGACTGGTTTGCAGAGGATCTGCGCTCTGCACACACCAACCAACCCAACCTTCCGGTTGCCATCCACTTTAACTCCCTCTCCCACTCCCCTGGTGACATGACCATCCTTGGCCTCCTCCGCTATCAGTGAGGCTAAACATAAGCTGGAGAAACAATACCTGATGTTTGCCTTGGGAGCTTACAGCCCAATGGCCTGAATATTGACTTCACCAGCTTCAAAATCTCTCCACCCCTAACCTCTCCATCTCCTGATTCACCTATCTACTCCACCCTTTCCACTGACCAATCACAATAACCCCCTACTTGCATCCACCTAACTCCACCCCGCCCCCCCCCTCTACTTGTTTCTGGGCTCCCCCCCCGCCCCCAGACCTGACAAAGGGTTTCAGCCTGAAACGTTAACTTCCCTGCTCCTCGGATACTGTCAGAACTGCTGTGCTTTTCCAGCTGCACATTTATTGACTCTAGCTTCTGATATCTACAGTCCTTATTGTCTTCAAGTTGCCGAAAACCGTACTGCGCAGTCTGTTATACGGATGCCCATCTTGAACAAGTTACCCTGTGTGGTGCTTGACAGGATTTGACCATGCAAACGTGTGGAGTGAAGTAAGACATAGCATAGATGGGAGAATTGTAGGTGCTGAATAAAGATGGTGGGAGGGATCAGAGAATTTGCACTGAATTAAATTTTCTCCTTTTCACTTTAGTTGCTTTTGTCTTTTATTCCAGCATGCTTCTGCTGATGTAGAGAAAATGATCCTTGGGAACAAGTGTGATGTGAATGAAAAGAGGCAAGTCAGCAAAGAACGTGGAGAGAAGGTATGATTGCCAGAACTCTTAAAGGTAGCTAACTCTGAAGAACTTCAGCCCTTGTCAAATATTTTCTCAAGTGTAAGGTAGAATGGTTGCTATCCCATGATTGAGTTTGAACATTGTTATGGACCAAATCAGGCCCCCCTCAAAAATATTTTTAAAATGTACACTAGATCCTAACTTAACAGATTGGAAACTTAACAATAAAAGATACAGTAACTATTTCAATATAGTAACACCCCAACATGTTGGCAAAAAGGAAAATTCAGACAGATTCTCACATGCAGTTGCCCAATCCAGGAGGAAAAAACACCAAGAGCAGAGCCAAGAGACATTCACTGAAACTTCCAATGCCTTTGAGACCTCAATATCTTGTGATGTTACTGAAAAAACCAAAACCCAGAAATCTGGATCTGAGAGAGCTGGCCACACCCATTCAGGCTGTTTTAAAAAGAAAACCCAAGGCCTCACAAGCTGTTTACTCAAAAGGTCTTGGTAACCTGTTCAGTACCTCTGCCTTGCAACCTTTCTTCAAAAAAATGGGCGAAATAACCTCTAAGTCACAGCATCTTGTGCCGATGCAGGGAAATATCTGGCCAGCCTATAATCTAAGAGCAGTCTGATATTTAAAACTGAATCTGGTATTGTTGCATGTGTTACTACATCTACATCATCTCTTGTGCTCTCTTGGTTGACTTGAAATAGTTGTTAATTACCGTTCTTTCATTGTCCTTTGAATCAAAATTTGACTAACTTTTCTGAACTGACTGCTTCATGTCTAATTCTCCTCATTTAATAATGTGGAAAGTCCAACTCAGAGGGTATCAATTGCTGAGACAGTCTAACAATTTATTTCTTTATTTTGCATTGGGAAGCAACATTGAAGTCTTGAGACTTCAACTGTGGTTTTTTTTCCACTTGTGAGAGTGCACTTGACCATGGTGCAGGAAATTACTTTGATCAATTCACTCCCATTTTGCCAAATTGGCACTGGGTGCTGTTGGCAGTAAATGAGAATGGAATGTTGTCAATTGGCTAACATCACAGCCACACCACCTCTTTCCCTCCCCATTCCTCAAGAGAATAGTTTTTGATTTGTGACGAAGTGACACTTCAGAATGAGTGATAACCCCACCAGAATAAAGGGGAAAGCATGATGTAGAGATGAGTGTTGGATGTTGAGGGGTCAGACAATGGTTCTAGTCCCATGTGATAGGCTGTGTAAGCGCATTTGGGTGATGGTGATGACCTCATCATCTAAGCCAGGCACATCCAAATCATCAGGATTTGTAGTTATTTGATGTTAAATTTTAATCTGAGGTTTGAAGAAAAACTAGGGATTTCAGGCCAGCAAGATGTTCTAGACAAATATAAACATGTAGATATTTTGGGAGGTGGTAGTTAGTTCAGCTAGCTGGCATGTGGTTCAAATAACACCCAATGGAATGGTTTCAGTCGCCTTTGGGTTAAAGAAGAGTTAGGACCTTCTTCATTGCCATTGTTTTCCACACTCGGTGATAGGCAAACCACTAAAATCCCTGAAGAGCACAGGTCGAAGCATCAGCAAGCAAAGAGCCATCAACTTGTACAAATGAAGGAAGCATGAAGAGAAAGATACATCCGAAATCCTGCTTAAAAGTAAATTGCAAAAGTGGAACACAGTTGGTGGGTGAAGGTGGTGGCGTAAGATCAACTAATAGAGTAAGTTTAGGAGTGGCAAATTATTCTTTACACACTTTAAATGCATGCTGTATTCAAAAGTTTCCCTGGGATGAAGCGGTGAGGTAAAAGTTCAGGTACAACTTATGATTGGATTTCTGGGTATAACGCGAAACAAATTCCTAGATCGTCTAATTAATTAGGCGACAACTATCTGGTCATGAAGGGTCCCTGCTGAGATTACATTTAAGTCAGTCCTTTGCCCGTTTTCCTCAGTTTCTTCCCTCCTTATTGTCCCATTCTGTTGGGTCATTCATCCTTTTTTTCCTCTTTCAGTTAGCCAGTGACTATGGAATCAAATTCATGGAGACCAGCGCAAAAGCAAATATCAATGTGGAGAATGTAAGTAATGATTGTTATCTGATCGTCGCATGTACTATGTTTTCTGCTTCTAACAAAACAGTGGGCTGACCCATCACTCCGAAAGCCTTGTTAATGCACCAATTTTTTTTATTAACGCTCCATGATCGAGTGGTGCCACATCTAATTTGTGCTGCCTTATGCTCTTATTGTCAGGCCACAGTCTTATCACTGACAAATCTTAGTTTGGGAATTGTCTTCCACTTTGCCCTTCTGGGCCTGAACTGCTGACTAATAGCCAGACCAGCCTGGAAACTTGCCAACAATTTGTGCAGCAAGGCAGGTCACTGTTGCCTAATCAGTTCTCCCCTGGAACCAGTGTCTGTATTTCACTGTGCATCACTTCTGGACTTTGTATTAAATTGCAAGTATATCAGTTTTGCAACATAACTAACAAACTTGGTGAGCTGCAAGCACATCTTGCTGTATGGGATTATGACATTGTTACATTATTCCAGATTGTTATGGAAAAGAACAAGATCAGTCCTGAAATCAAAGTTCTAAACAGGGGGAAGGATGATTTTAACAAAATTAGGTATGAGATGGCCAGTGTGAACTGGAGCTGATGTGTTTAGGTAAACCTGTGTCAGAGCAGTAGGACACATTCTAGAAGGAACTAGGGAGAGTAAAGGACAGAAATGTTCCAATAAAGGCTAAGAGCGGGACAAACAAATCCTTGAACCCTGGATATTAAAGGTATACAGGATCGCGTAAAGAGAAAAAAGGAGGAATATTGCAGTTTTCAAGGGCTCAGAACAGAAGTAGTCCTGGAGGAGCACAGAATGTCCAAGGAGAAACTTAAAAAGGAAATCGAGAGCTAAAAGGGAACAGAAATGAATAATAGCAGCAAGATTAAAGAAAATCCTATGTTATTTTTCAAATATAATAAGTTTAAAAGGATAACTAGGGAAAGAACAGGGCCCCAGTGAGGACCTTAGTGGTAATTTGTGCGTGGAGCTAGAGGTCATAGGTATCGTTCTAAATGGATACTTTGTGTCAGTGTTCACTAGTGAGAGGGATGATGTAGGTTTTGGAATTAGGAAGGAGTCTGATACTTGAAGCAGTTAGCATAGACAGGGAGTGGTCTGGCAGGCTTAACAGTAGATAAATGGCTTGGTGAAATGTATCCCAGGCTGTTGAGTGAGACCAGGGAGAAAATATAGCAGGAGCACTGGCAATAATTTTCAATTCCTGTCTGGCCACAGAAAAGAGGACTGGAGGACAGCGAACGTGGTATCATTATTCAAGAAGGCAGCAGGGATAAATCCGGAAACTACAAGCCAGTCAGTCTAACCTCTGGTGGGAAACTATTGAAAGCAACTCTGAGTGACAGAATTAGTCTGAACTTGGAGAAGGAGGGATTATAAAGAACAGTCAGCATGGTTTTAAGTGGAAGTCACGTCTGAGCAACTTGATTGAATTTTTTGAGGAGGTAACCAAGTGTATAGATTTGACCTGGTCTACTTGGAATTCAGCGAGGCTTTTATTAAGGTCCAGCATGGGAGATTGATAGCAAAGTTAAGAGCCCATGGCTTTTCAGGAAGTTTGGCAAACTAGATTCAGAATTGGCTGAGTGGCGGGAAGTAGGCTCATGGTTGAGAAGTGTTTTTGTGACTGGAAGCCTGTGTCTAGTGGGGTTCTGCATGGATCAGTGTTTGGTCCCTTGTGGTATATATGAACAATTTAGACTTGAATGTATGATTCTTGCTTAGTAAGTTCATAGGCAAAACACAAATTGGTGATGTGGTAAATAGTGGGGAAGGTAGCCTTCAATTACAGAAAACGTAGATGGCTGGTCAGATGGGCTGATCAGTTACAAATGGAATTCAAACCAGATAAACATGAGGTGATGCCCTTGGGCAGCATAAACAAGGCAAGGGAATACATGATGAATGGTAGGATGCTGGGAAGCACCAAGAACCAGGGGCCCTGGTGTGCATGTCCACTGGTCCCTTAAAGACGTAGGTCCAGTAGATAAAGTGGTTAAGAAGGTTAATGGTATGTTTGCCTTTATTAGTCAAGGTCCAAAGTTTAAGATCAGGGAGGTCATGCTGCAACTGTACAAAATGTTGGTTAGGTCCCAACTGGAGTATTGTGTGCAGTTCTGGAATCTACATTTATAGCAAGGATGTGATAGGCCTGGAGAGGGTGCCGAGGAGATTTACCAGGATGTTGTCCTCACTGAAGAGTTTTAGTTATGAGTTTCTTCCTATACTACTCTGTCTATGCTCCTCATAATTTTATACATCTCAATCATGAGTTATGAAGAGAGATTGGATACAACAAAAAAACTGTTGAAGATCTGAAACAAAACCAGAAATTGCTGGAGAAATTCAGCAGATCTGGCATAATCTATGGAAAGAAAGCACTGCTGTTCTTTCTTTCCAGAGATGCTGCCAGACTTGCTGAGTTTTACCAGCAATTTCTGTTTTTGTTTTAGACTGGTGGTGTTTTCCTTGGAGTAGAGGAGGTTGAGGGGCCATGATTGAGATGTATAAAGTTATGAGGGGCATAGACTTCATACAACTTCATAGAATCCCTACAGTGTGGAAACAGGCCCTTCGGCCCAGCAAGTCCACACCGACCCTAGGAGCATCCCACCCTGACCCATCCCCCTATAACCCACCTAAGCTACATATCCCTGAGCACAACGGGCAATTTAGCATGGCCAATCCACCTAACGTGCACATCTTTACTGTGGGAGGAAACTGGAGCACCCGGAGGAAACCTGCGCAGACACGGGGAGAATGTGCAAACTCCACACAGACAGTCGCCCGAGGGTGGAATCGAATCCGGGTTCCTGACGTTGTGAGGCAGCAGCGCTAACCACTGAGCCACTGTGCCGCACTAGACGGGATAGTGTCAGAAGAAACTTGTCCCCTAGGTGGCAGCATCAATAACCTGTGGGCATAGATTTAAGGTAAGGGGCAGGAGGTTTAAAGGAGATGAAAAAATTTTCAGAGAGTGGTGGGTTTCTGGAATCCACTGCCTGTAAGGGCAGTAGAGGCAGAAACCCTCATAACATTTAAGAAGTTATTTAGATATACACATGGCATGCAAGACTAAGGCCCAAGTGCTGGAACATGGAAAAGAACAGTTAAGTAGCTGTTTCTGACTGGTACAGACTCAATGGGCTGATTGGCCTTTTTCTGTGCTGTAGACTTCCATGATTCCATGCAGGACATGGTTCAGTAGTTGACAGGAATGATTCTTCATTTTTCAGATTCACTGAAGGGGAAAGGAAACAAAGGAGATAATGTGACAATATTGATTAAGGATGGTCCAGTCCAAAATAGAACCATCTCATAAGCTAAATACTTGAGTCTTAGGATTTGAGTTAAGGAACTGTAGATGACCTCAAGCCGTGTTCTCAGGAATATTCCCATTGCCGCATGCTAGTGAGCACAGGAATAGAAGGATTGATCAATTGAGCACATGCCCAGAGAATTAGAGAGAGAGAAATAGTGGGACCTGCTGATGCTGGAGAATCTGAGATAACAAGGTGTAGAGCTGGATGAACACAGCAGGCCAAGCAGCATCAGAGGAGCAGGAAAGCTGACGTTTCAGGTCTGGACCCTTCTTCAGAAATCAGAGAATTAGCATGGGGGTGGCAGGAAATCAGTATTGAGGCATTGGGAGCAGGTGGGGCCTAGACAAGGTGGATGAGTTGCACCTTCACGTAACTGGGACTAATCTCTGAACAGGGAGATTTTCTGGTGCTGTAGCAGAGGGCTTTAACAAGCTTGTCAAGGGATAGGAACCTATAGGATGGCTCAAATTGGAAAGAAGTAAAGCTGCTAGTAGGAAGTAGAAAACTGGCAAATAAAATTCGAAGGCAGGCATCAGCTAAGCTTAGAATGCTGAATAATTGGATGGGGTAATTGTGCCTGATTGCGTGCCCATCTTTTGTACTTGCGCCCCTCCGGGTGTTCCTGGAAAGGGAGCATGTAGTATCCACTGGCACAATAGAGGCCATAAGAATATGATGGACGCTGCAGGAACTGGAGTGCATCATCACTCATGTTATTTTGCTTTAGTGAGTTTCCCTTCAGCTTTTTAAAAGTTCCCATTGGCCATTACCTTGTATTTTGTTACAGTGTACCATCGGCAGTTGTTTAATCCCATCTTGTTACCTTTTGTATAAGAGTAGAGGGAATGTTAGTATGTAATGCTCCATGCTGTCCCTCTCCTGGGAGTGTTTGATCAGGGCAATGTTGAAGGAGCTTTACTCTCAGTTTAGAAGGGTAGAATGCTGAGTAAGTGGACAGGGTCATTGTGCCTAAGTGCCTGCCACTCTTTTGTAGTTGTCCTGGTCCAGATGCCCCTGAAGAGGGAGCATGCAGTCTCCATCGGCACAATAGAGGCCTTTAGAGACTGGTGGACACCTCGGGGGCTGTACTGCTTCATCACCTGGACTTATTTTGCTTTAGAAAGTTTCCCTTCAGCTTTCTGTAAGTTTCTGTTAACTGTTTGCTTGTGTTTTTGCTATTGTGGCAGCTTGACCTCATTTTAGACAAAAGAAATAAGAAAAGAACATGAAAATTGGAGGAGTTATGGATAGTGAGGAAGGTTGTCAAAGGACAGAGCAGGATATAGATCAGTTGGGCAGTGAAATGATAGATGGAGTTTAATCCGAGCAAGTGAGAGGTGATGCATTTTGGGAGGTCAAATGAAGAGGAAAGTATACAGTAAATGGCAGGACCTTTGGTAGCATTGATATACAAAGGGATCTTGGAGTGCAAGTCCATAACTTCCTGAAAGTGCCCACATACTTGGATAAGGTGATAAAGTGTATGGCATTCATTGGTTGGGGCATTGAGTGTAAAAGTTGGCAGGTTATGCAGCAGCTGTATAAAACTTTAGTAAGGCCACATTTGTGGTATTGTGTGCAATTCTGGTTCCCACACTATAGGAAGGATATGGATGCTTTGGAGAGGGTGCAAAAGAATATTGCCTGGAATGGAGTGTATAAGTTATAAAGATAAGTTGGACAAACTTGGATTGTTTTCAATAGAGCCTTGGAGGCTAAGGGGTGACTGATGGAACTATATAAATTATATAGTTAAAACTATGTAAATTATGAGAGGCATAGATAGGTTGGCTAGTCAGGGTGGAACTGTCAAATACTAGGGGCCATAGGTTTAAGGAGAAGGTGAAAGTTTAAAGGACATGTGCAAGGCCAGCTTTTACACAGAGGGTGGGAGGTGTCTGGAATGTGCTGCCAGGGGAGGTAGTAGAAACAGACCCGATAGCAACATTTAGGAGTTGTTTAGACAGACAGATGAACAGGCAGGGAATAGAGGGATACAGAGCATGTGCAGGCAAATGGGATTTCTTTAGAAAGGCATAGTCGTCAGCACAAGTGAGGAAGGCCGAAGGGCCTGTTCCTGTGCTATTCTGTTCTAAGTATATAAGTAGGCCTTTTGGCCCCTGGATGCTGCTCCAGCATTCAATAGGATCATGGTAGATCCAACATTCCTCAAGTCAACTTTCCTGCCCTTCCCTGTAACCCTTGATTTCCTAATTCATCATGAGTCTACCTATCTCAGCCTTAAATATACACAAGGACTCTGCGCCCATAGCTTTCTGTGGCAAGGAATTCCAAAGACACTCAACCCTCCAGAAGAAATTCTATCTCATCTCAGTCTTAAATTGGTGCCCCTTTATTCTGAGACTCTGCCCTCTGGTCCTCGACTCTCCCATGAGGGGAAACACCCTCTCAGCATATACCCTGTCAATCCCATTAAGAATACTGTATGTTTCAATGAGATCACCTCGTTCTTCTAAATTCCAACAAGTGGAGTCCCGACCTGTTTAATCTTTGCTCATAAAGACAATCTGTCCATACCAAGGATCAGTCCAGTGAACCTTGTCTGAACTGCCTCCAATTAAGTAATATCTCCCCATAAATGAGGGGCCTGAAATTGCCCAGTACTCCAAATGTGGTCTCACCAGCACCTTGTACAGTTACAGCAAGACATCCCTAATCTTATATTCCAAACCCCTTGAAATAAGGGCCAACGTTCCATTAGCCTTCCTGATTACCTGCTGTACCTTTGCACTAGCTTTCTGTGTACAAGTACCCCTAAGTCCCTTTGTGTTGCAGCTCTCTGCAGTTTTTCTCCATTTACTCTGTTGAGGTTATTGACTTGCTCAAAAAACTGGCTTATTTTCGTTCAGATGTTTCATCACCATGCGAGGTAACATCATCAGTGAGGCCTCCGATGAAGTGATGTTGTTCTACTCCACTTGGGATTTATACTGTCCAGTCCGTTATGGTGTGTAATGTCGTTTTCGGTTTTGTTCTGTATGAGTTTGTATATGGGGTCCAATTCTATATGTTTGTTGATTATATTATGGGTTGAGAACCATGCCTCTAGGAATTTTCATGCATGTCTTTGTTTGGCTTGGGCTGCTATGGTTACGTTGTCCCAGTTAAACTGATGGCCTTCATTGCTCAAGTGTACTGATATTAGGGAAAGTTCATTGTGTCGTTTTGCTGCTAGGTGATGTTTGTGTACTCTGGCTAGTTACTTCGGACTGACAGGAAGGTAATGCTTGTGGCAGCCGTTGCATAGTATTTTGTAAACTATGTTGGTTCTGCATGTCATGGATGTGGATCTGGTGCATGGGCAACACATCTGTCATCATTAAACGCACAAAACTAGAAGAGACCCACCATCTCCTCAACAACGTATTCACCGGGAATAAGTTCACGAGAGAAGAAGTAAACAACAATCGGCTTCTGTTTCTGGATGTCAGAGTTGAACGTATGACCAACATGAGTTCCAAACCTTGGTATAGAGGAAAGCAACCCACACTGACCAAATCCTCAACTTCCACTGCATCCACTCCAACGTCCACAAACAAAGCTGTGTTAGGACACTATTTAAACATGCCAGAACTAGGCAGGAAAGAGGAAGAACACCTATACAAAATCTTTGCTATGAACGGATATCCCTGCAACTTCATCTGCAGGTGCCTACTAAACAGACGACAACAAGAACACACAGTATTCCCTAACACACTGGCCACACCTCCCTACATCAAGAACATATCACAACTGACAACGAGACTCCTACGACCACTAGGAATCATGGTATCACACCAAGCTCACAGCCTCGCTACGACAAACACAAGGATTAAAGACCCTATACCACAACATGCAGAAGTAACGTAGTTTACAAAATACCATGCAATGATTGCCACAAGCATTACTTCGGACAGACAGGAAGGAAACTAGCCATCAGAGTACACGAACATCAGCTAGCAGCAAAACAACACAATGAACTCTCCCTAATATCAGTACACTCGGACAATGAAGGCCATCGGTTTAACTAGGACAACGTAACCATAGTGGCCCAAGTCAAACATAGACACGCACAGGAATTCCTAGAGGCATGGTTCTCAACCCATACTTCAATAAACAAACATATAGAATTGGACCCCATATACAAACCCATACAGAACACAATGGAAATGACACAAGTCACCATAACAGACCAGACAGTGTAAATCCCAGAATGGGGTGGCACGGTGGCACAGTGATTAGCTCTGCTGCCTCACAGTGCCAGGGACATGGGTTTGATTCCACCCTTGGGCAACTGTCTGTGTGGAATTTGCATATTCTCCCCATGTCTGCGTGGGTTACCTCCGGGTGCTCCGGTTTCCTCCTACAGTCCAAAGATGTGTAGGCTAGGTGGATTGTACATGCTAAATTGCCCATAATGTTTAGGGGTGTGTAGATTAGGTGGGTTACAGGGGATAGGTCTGGGTGGGATGTTCTGACGATCAGTGTGGGCTTGTTGGGCCGAAGGGCCTGTTTCCACACTCTAGGTATTCTATGAGAACAACATCGCTTCATCGGAGGCCTCACTGATGATGTTACCTAACATAGTGACGAAACGTCTGAATGAAAACAATCCAGCTCGGCGAGCAAGTCTACAACCTCATCTGCAACCCCTTGCTGCCCATTCCAAAATGAACAACTTCACATTTTCCCACATTGTCTGCCATTTGCCAACCTTTTGTTCACTCACTTAACCTATCAATATCTTTCTGTAAACTGTTTGTAACCATCTTGCAAGTTGTCTTTCCATTTATTTTTTGTCATCTGCAAATTGGGCTTCCGTTCTCTAAGTTATTAATATATGTTGTAAACAGTTGCAGTCCTGGCACTGATGCCTGTGAAAATTCACTGGTTACAGGTCGCCAACTTGAAAAAGGACCCCATATCCTGACTCCCTGTTTCCTGTCCATGAACCAATTCTATATGTCAATACACTACTCCCTAATGCAATGGGCCCTTATGTCATAACTTTTTGTGAGGTGTCTTGCCTAATACCTTCTGGAAGCCCAAATACAACACATCTGATTCCCCTCTATCCACTCAGAAATTAGTTAGACACGATTTCCCTTTCATGATCATACTCCAATCGATTAGATTATGATTTATACAATGTTTGCTAATCTAGCCACCCAGTTCCCTTTAGCTGACTCTATCCTCATTTTATTTAATTCCCTTTTATTTAAGTTAAACACAGTTGTTTCTGTTGAGGTTGGTTGGCTTGCCAAGCTGGTTTCTTGTTTCGCAGATGTTTCGTTACCATGCTGGGTAACATCCTCAGTGCAGCCTCCAATGAAGCGTCAGTGTGTTTTCCCGCCTGGTTTTTAAACTCTGGGGTCCATTGAGATGGATTGCCTCACTTCCGGTTTTCCTTCGTAGTGGAATGTATATGGGGTCGAGTTCAATATGTTTATTAATAGCATGCTTCGTGGAGTGCCAGGCTTCTAGGAATTCTCGTGCCTGTCTCTGCCTAGCTTGTCCCAGGATTTTGGTGTTGTCCCAGTCGAATGGTGGTTCTCCTTGTCCATCTACTCCAAAACAGTTGTTTCCGATTAGGGTGCAAGGGAGGGGTTATCTAGTGTAAGGAGATGTTTGGGCTTTAAAGAACAGAGTCAAGAGGGGCAGAAGGAAAATGAGAAGTATTAGAGGCTGATGCTCAGGAAGCCCAGAGCTGCAATGATCATGAGTGATACAGAGCAACAGTTTAGAGTGGTTACTGTAGGGCAGGATCTACAGTCAACATGACCGATGTTGGAATAGATGGCAGCTTGATCTGTTCAGGGGAGTTGGTAAGGTAGAGTTGAGGAGGAGCTTGACACTTAACAGTCAGGGAGAAGGCAAGGCATCATGAATGGTAGCTGTAAAGAAATATAAGTAGCAGAGCAGAAACGAGGTGATAAGACAAGTGCAAGCATTATGATAGTGAACTCGTTCATGTGAATGATTGGTAAGTTGTACTGTAAACCTTGAGATAACCATAGCATGGGTCAGTCATTTGAATGAATGTGAGATTGCAGTGAGTAGGATTTGCTTGCAAGAGGGCTATTAACTCTCATGTTATGGTCTCCTTTAATTTCCCTTTTCTGAATGGGCAATTGATGATCCCGATGTTTGCTGTTTCAGGCATTTTTCACACTTGCCAGAGACATCAAAACGAAAATGGACAAGAAACTGGTGAGTATTTCAGATCTAATGCATTCCTTTTGAGCCAGTAAGCTGGAATTTTAAGATCGGTGTATACTTCAGAATAGGTAGCTGCTCGTGGCTAGAACTGGGTGACTGAGTTGGAAGTCTGAGTAAGCATATCAGCAAGCAGCAATATAACTGCTTATCTGATGCCCGTTGCAATTGGTCACATCACAGTCAAGTAGTTAAACAGAAAGATTAACTACAAGGAAAGGGAGGCAAGACAAGGTCAAGTGAATAACAGAAGCAAGAACCAGACTGGTTTAAAGAGACAATTCTAGAATTTGCAATCCAAACCCTGGAAGGGTTCCTTATTGGTGACACAGGGAATTAGGGATGGGGGTGATGGACTTCAGAGGATTGTATGGCTGGAGGAGTTAGAGATGGAGGAAGAAGAAACCATTGAAGGATGCAAAGATGATGTTAAATTGAGTCTTTGTTACCACAAGGAATCAGTGTTGAGGCATTGAAGACAGGGTAAATAGAACTGGATTGGGTGTGGGTGAGGATGTGGCTCGGATAGAAAATGAAGCACTTGAAATGTTTGCCGTATAACGGTGTGAATTTATTAAGCTGAGATGTGATGGGATGCAGTGTAATGACATTTTGCGATCATCCCCTTTTCCTTATATACAGGAAGGCAACAGTCCCCAAGGCAGTAATCAAGGCATACGAATTACCTCACAGCAGCAGAAAAAGAACACCTTCTTTCGTTGTCTTCTTCTGTAATGAACATTGCCTTAAAAGAAACAGCTCAAGCTCTCACTGATTTGAAGTGGAGTGTGCACGCTCTGAGCTTTTCCTGTATGGATGGACACTTGCTCTGGACAAGCCCTGTTGTGCTATTGAAGGCGTACAGAGATCGAGCAGCTGAGAATTTTTTTTTTTTTTTTTTTAGCTTTTAGGACCTGTCTGATGATTACCTCAGGAGTGGAAACGTGCGAGTCAGAATCTTCTGATGGGAATCCCTCCGTTTTACTGATTTCCAATCTATTGGGGTGTGATTGTTTGGAATCCTAATTTTCCCATGTCCTGTGTTCCCCTCTGGTTTTCCTTTGTTTTGGTTTCCCCCTACAAATCTTGTGTTGTGCAGATGCTCTGGCATTTCCATTGATCTTGCTGTGCAATATGCTGCAATTCCTGTTGTCATGCCTTCACATTCAATGCCCTGTACTTATCAGTGAGTCCCAGTGATTGCACTTTTTCTTCTGCCAGTAATTGAACTTCTTTATCATGTGAGTACCTTGGAGACATTAATGGTTGTGCAAAGAAGCAGCCCAAATGTCAATTTTCAAACCTAAAGGCAGATTTCCCTATGTAGCTCCCTCCCTGTGGTGGTGACATACTACATACGGCAGAGTTGTTCTGGATCAGATGTGAGTTGAACTATGCTGAAGCAGATGTCAAGTGTAGTTTCAGATGTAGTACCTCCAGTTTAACAGAGGCAATTAGTCTGTATCACCGTACAGCAGACTAGACCTTGACAACAAACCTCGGATAGATTCCGCTCATCACTTCCTTGTGGTGTTTCCTGTGGTATTGCTACAATCTGAGCCAGTTTTAATTGTTAGACTGGATTGAACAGAAATGGCTAGAAATCAGAAGGCAAAACAGAATTATGATCATTATTGCTGCAAACTGTCTGCTTCCCCGATGTTGTCTGAGAAAGGATGTCTTCAAGAATGAAATGGAGGGAGGAATGCAAGAGGGAGCAGGATGAGACAGGATATGGTGATATCCTCCTTTTTTTACTTGCTGATGTGCAATAGCCATGAATTTATTGAAGAAGCTGTATTCTTTTGGTAGTTTTTCTGTTTTCTTACAGCACTTGACCAGTGGAGCCGGCTAAACCATATTTTGAATAGTATTTGGATGTTAATGCTTAAACTGATGGGAGTCTGTGCTGTTTAAATCATGCCACTATTGTAAGCAGAGTAATTATTAATTTACCAATTGCAAGTGTCTAGTTTAAAGAATTAGAGGCTTAAAGCACAGTAAACAGGTCCTGTTAATTCAGCTTATGCATAATTCTCAAACTTGAGTACTGAAATAGTAAAATCCCTCAGGGAGGTTAAATGCACTTTTAGTTGATGAGCAATGCTTAATGGCTGTCATCTCCTTAGTATTTGTGGAATATTTGTGGAACAGGAGAGATCTGTGAATTGGAGTGTACCAGTAGATTTGCCTCTTGCACTATCCATTCCTGAGCCAGTCCCTGTTTGTGACTATCACTCTATAAACCTAAGCAATGGGCAGTAAATTGTGCCAGAATTTGCTGATAGTACTATTTTTAATAGTCCTTTAACATGGAAGTATTCATTTGGAGTTCCCTTACAGCCAGGGTGTAGCTGTGTTGCTATGATAGACAAAAGGAGAAAGGTTATAAATATTACTTTAATTCTTAGAATATTGTATTTTAAAAAAAAATACAATGAAAGGAAACAAATTCTCTTCCGATCTTTGCCCTCTCCTCTGCCCCAATACGGATCGAGGTGGTGTATGTGCCCTTGTGTTAAGTTCCAAACTAGAAGGGAAAACCAGGAATAAAGGGAATAGATGGATAATTCCGAGCCTTTTGAACAAAATATGTAGACTTCTCTAATCCTAGAGGTTAAAATCCAGTATCATTGCTACATTGAAAGATGTTCTTTCTTGGGTGGTGCATGGTTACTGCACAGACAACAGTGAAGGAGGATGGAACAAAAGTGGCCAATTATTGATATTGCTGTGTATAACCCATCTGTGTGTTGACTGCACTTTCTCAGTATCCGTTGTAGGCTAATTCAACAGTTGCCGAACTCAGACAGACCTGAATGTCTTTTGCGAATGTTACTAAGCACTTTGTGTAGCTCAGTGGATGAAGGCGTGAGAATCCACCCATTTAATTCTACCAGAAAAATGAAACCATTTTTGAAATATGGCCATGTGCAAATCATGACACAGGTTTAAACAGCCAGTCTGATTACTTCACCAGAATCCCCTGCCACATGGTACTGTAAATATACAGCAGGTTCCTCCCAGCTAGTCCATTTTCAATTAGTGGGGCCTCCATGTCAAACTCAATCCCACAGAGATGCACAGACTCTGATATGTGCACTTTTCGCTTTCCTTCTCGATGAATATTGGGGTAATTTGTAACAGCCCAGTACCAGACAGAGCACTGGCCCATTAGCGATGTGAGGAATTCCTCTGAAGCTATGCTGTTCAACAATTTGTGGATAACCCTCTTCCCAATTCCCAATTTTTCTTTTTGAAGATTATTTTAATATTTTCCTGAATAATGGCAGGTGATTCATGGCTGTTGAGTATCAGTTGGAAGGAAAAGATTATTTATTCACTTCATGTATGTGAAGCTGTATTTTTGAACTGTTTGTGATCGCAGTCTCCAGAATCGCACTGGTGCTGACCTTCGAATGACCCTGAGCTCCACAACACAAAGCACCATACTGCCTCGCCTATGAAAGCAGCCTCCAGACCCCATCGATCTCCTCATTTACCACTGTCCGCCTCAATTCACAAACTGAAGATTTTATTTTTTTTAATTTTAAATTAAGAAAAGTTTAGTTTTATGTTTATTTTCTTGTGTGGATGTATTTTGTTCTGCACTCTGGTGTTCAATGCTGTGTGGCTCAAATTTGTTAGCTTTTCATACTCTTATCTCCCAGAGTGACTGTGGTACTGAAGCAATTACAGAATTAATAATTCCCCTGCCCCAGTAAAATGTACCTCTGCTATATTGCCAATGTGTCCCTTCAAGACCTTGAATATAGTGCACAAGGTAATTCTCAGGGACTACATGGGGCGAAATTATAAAATCTGTTGAGAAGTGGAGTTTTTTGTGGATAACATTTGGTCAACTGATGGCCATAAACCCATAAGTTCTGTGATGTCTCTAACCCTCGTCAGCAAAAATGCTAACACTGATCAGCTTTGTGTCAAACTAATAGCACCCTGGATTCTTTCAAAAGCGCTAGCTAGTACTGAAGGGAGGTATTGCAGGGGCAATCCTCCGCCCAGATAGCCAGTGCTTCAATATGGTCACATATCATAGGGGACCCATCCCCAAGCAGCTGGGTAGTTTGTGGCAATGTGATTATAACTGGGGAGATGCTCCTTGGCTGAACTGAGTCTGTGATTCCGTTGGCTACAGCTTGACTAGTAGCAGGAGTAGGAATCTCATCATTCCAGTATTCTGCTCTTTTTTTGCTATACTCCCATAACAAATAAGCTCATCCACATTCTGACTTGGTGCTGATGATGCTCTGCACCCAGATTCCCTAGATGTGGGCTACAGATTTTAGAGTGCCCTCCCTCTATCAGTTTGAATAATCAAGATTAAAAGACAGTATTTAGGAAGATGCAGCTGGATTGAACGGGGATATATGGTATATGATTGTACCTGTTTCGGGATCATTGTTCCTTTATTTCCTTCAGACATTCCTTGTGTTAAAGGTGTCCAAGATTCATTTGGTTCAAAGGGATGGGAGGCTGCATTGTTTCAGGTGACCATGTAAATAGCTTTACTTTGAAAAGAAGCCACTTTATAATTCTTCTGTACTTCCTGAAGTTGTTGGATTTATAGGTAAAGGTGGAGTTTTAATGAAATTAAAATGTGAGTCTTTAAAACGCAGGCTTCTCTGCTCTTGCAATTGAGTATTTATTTTGGTGTGTGACTTCGAAGGTGATAGAATGAGTGCTGAATCAGGACCCTGGCAAGAATACTTGCCATCATGAGTTCTGAACTTGTCATAAAAGACCTGCTGGGGATTTAGATTCCAGTCATGGTGCCTACATTTGAGTGATTGCTAGCATAATGAGATCAGTTACACTTCCCGTCTCCTATTGAGATCTGTATGACTGCATTAATCCTTTCTTGCCTTTTCAAGATAATGCATTTGAAATTAGCAATAGTATTAGAATATATAAAGGATCGAAATTGGAAAAGGAATGGGTTAGTGTTTTAAGTTTACTCTTAAACATTTCACAAGTTAGAAACCAAACTAGAGAAATTATTATTTTTAACTGAGGCTAGCTTATTTGAACAAAGATGGTTGCTAAAGTACATATATCCAGCAGTATGCGGGAACAGTAAATAGTGCAATTCACCAGCCTGAGGAACGGTAAGAGCAGTTGCATTGAATGCTTGATTGACTTTTTTGTCACATTTACCAAAATACAATGCAAAATGTTTGTGTACTATACAGGCAGATCATACCATACAAAGTGCATCAGGGTAGCAGAGCATGGTGCAGAGAGAGATTAGAATTAACATTTGAGGTGTCCATTCAAAATCTAATAATGGCAGGGAAGAAACTGTTCTTGAATCTATTCGTATTCGAACTGTTCTATTTTCTGCCCAACCAAAGAGGGTGGAAGAATGTATAACCAGGCTGGAAGGGGTCTTTGATTACGTTGATTGCTTTCTCAAGACAGTGGGAAGTACAGTTGGAGTCAGTGGATTGAAGGCTGGTTTGTGTAATAAACTGGGCTGTGGTCGCAACTCTCCGCAGTTTTTTGTGGCCTTAGGAAGAGCAGTTGCCATACTATGCTGTGATGCGTCCAAATAGGATGGTTTCTTTGGTGCATCTATAAAAATTGGTAAGAGACCTTGTGGTCATGCCAAATTTCCTTAGCCTCCTGAGGAAGTAGAGATGAGTGCTTTCTTGACCATCGTGTCATTGTGGGTGGACCAGGACACACTCAGCTATCTCCCGCTCAGCACGAATGATGCAGACAGGGGCATGCTCTCCTCTCCGCTTCTAGAAGTCAATGACCAGATACTTTGTTTTGCTGACATTGATGGAGAGAATGTTGTTTTTACACCATGCTGCTAAGCACTCAATCTCTATCCTGTATTCTGTCTCATTGTTGTTTGAGATCTGACCTACAAACAGTTGTGTTTCAAGCAAATTTGTAAATGGAGTTGGGTTCGCATTTGGCCCCACAGTCATGTGTATAAAGCATATAGTAGGGGGCTGAGTACACAGGCTGGTGGGGCCTATCCTAAATGTGTCTCGGACATCTAACTGTAGCAGGTAGGGAGTTAGTGTGGTTCCAGAGGTTGGATGTTATGGAGAAGTCTGGGCAAGGCAGCTTAAGAGTTGATAAGGAAAAGATGGGTAAGAATGACCAAATATCACCAGAAATCCTGCAAATGTCTTAGTTGCTAATGGAAGCTAGACTTTAAACAAATGACACAAAAAACAGAAGGTGCTGTAAAAGCCCAGCAGGTCTGGCAGCATCTGTGAAGAAAACATCAGAGTTAACGTTTCGGTTCCAGTGATCCTTCCACTGAGGAAGAGTCACCGCACCCAAAACGTTAACTCTGATTTTTTTTTTTTTTTCTTCACAGATACTACAGACCTGCTGAGCTTTTCAAGCAACTTCTATGAATGACAATGTTTGTCTACAGGTACAGCAAATGAAATGTTGCCATTTATTGTAGGGGGAATAGTATTTAAATGTAGAGAAGTTCTACTGCAGCTTTACAGTGCTTTGGTGAGAGCACTTCTGGATTACTGTTATCGTGACGTTAAAAAAATTGGCCTCCTACTCCTGTATTTGAACACAGTAAAACTAAAATGCTCAATGACTGTCAAAATTGATCCCAATGGTTCCTAGCCAGACTTTTTTTAAAAAAATAACCCGTACCAGTTCATAATTTAAATGATTTAACAATTTATTAATAAACACTAACTTTAGCAGAGCAATGTTAAGCAACAAAATAATCTCATTAATGTCAATGATTTAAACCCAATCTTCTTTGATTTTAGCCTCCACTCACATGAAGACAGACACAGAGATCATTTGAGGGATGAATCAAAGGGGAAAAAAATGAAATGCAACTGGCCAGTTTACTTAAGTAGACAGTGCAATCCGCAACACTACAATTGTATCTTGCTTGGTTTCTGAAGACAGTGCTGTGTGCCACTATCTTCCCGTTGGCTCCAATGAATATTAACTTAACATGTTGAGTCATAGATGTACAGCATAGAAACAGACCCTTCGATGCAATTTGTCCATGCCAATCCAGTATCCTAAATAAATTTAGTCCCATTTGTCAGCATTTGGCCCATATCCCTCTGAACTCTTCCTATTCAAATACCCATCCAGGTGCCTTTTAAATGTTGTAATTGTACCACCCTCCATCACTTCCTCTGGCAGTTCATTCCAAACATGCTCCACCCTCTGCTGGAAGAGTTGCCCTATTAGGTCCCTTTTAAATCCTTCTCCTCCCACCTTAAACCTATGCCCTCAGGTTTTGGACTCCTGCCATCCTGTGGAAAAACCATTGACCATTCACCCTATCCACACCCCTCATAATTTTATAAACCTCTACAAGGTCACCCCTCAGCCTCTGATATTCCAAGAAAATAGTTCCAGCCTATTTTGCCTCTCCTTATAGCTCAAAATCTCCAACTTTGGCAGCATCCATATAAATCTTTTCTGAACTTTTAAAAATTTCACAATATCCTTCCTGTAGCAGGGAGATCAGAATTGAAACCAGTCTTCCAAAAGTGGCCTAACCGATGTCCTGTACAGCCGCAACATGACATCCCAACTCATACTCAATGCACTGACTAATAAAGGCAAGTGTACCAAACACCTTTTTCACAATCCTGTCAACCTGTGACTCCACTTTCAAGGAACTATGAACCTGCACTGCAAGGTCTCTATGTTCTGCAACATTCCCAGGACCTTACCATTAAGTGTATAAGTCCTGCCCTGATTTGTCCTACCAAAATGTAGCACCTCACATTTATCCAGATTAAACTCCATCTGCCATTCCTCAGCCCATTGTACTCTGAGGTAACTTTTGTTGTCCACGACACCACCAATTTTGGTGTTATCTACAAATTTACTAACCATACTTCCCACGTTCACATCCAAATCATTTATATAAATGACAAAAAGCAGAGGATCCAATACCAATCCCTACTCCACTCATCACAGGCCTCCAGTCCGAAAAGCAGCCCTCCACCATCATCTTCGGTCTCCTACCTTCTCACCAATTTTCTATCCAAATGGCTAGTTCTCTCTGTATTCCATGTGATCTTAACTTTAACCACTTACCATGCGGAACCTTGTCAAACACCTTACTGAAGTCCATATAGATAACGTCCACCACCCTGCCTTCATCAATCCTCTGTCATTTCTTCAAAACACTCATCGTTAGTGATAGTAGGAACTGTAGATGCTGGAGAATCTGAGATAACAAGGTGTAGGGCTGGATGAACACAGCAGGCCGAGCAGGAAGGCTGACGTTTTGGGTCTTTGCTGAAGAAGGGTCTAGGCTCGAAACGTCAGCCTTCCTGCTCCTCTGATGCTGCTTGGCCTGCTGTGTGTGTTCATCCAGCTCTACACCTTGTTATCTCAAGTTAGTGAGGCATGATTTCCCATGCACAAAGCCATGTTGACTGTCCCTAATCAGTTCTTGTCTTTGGATTCTCCTTAACCATATTTGCCAATGCTATCTCATGTCCCCTTTTTGCCCTCCTGAATTCCCTTTTTAAGTATACTCCTACTGCCCTTATACTGTAGGAATTTACTCGATCCCTGTTGTCTATACCTGACATATGCTTCCTTCTTTTTCTTGGCCAGATCCTCAATGTCTCTAGTCTTCCAGCATTTCCTACATCTACCAGCCTTGCCCTTCACCCTAACAGGGACATACTGTCTGTGATGATGAAGGGTCGAGGCCCGAAACGTCAGCCTTTCTGCTCCTATGATGCTGCTTGGCCTGCTGTGTTCATCCAGCCCTGCACCTTGTTGTCTCATACTGTCTGTGGAGTCTTGTTATCGCATTTTTGAAGGCTTCCCACTTTCCAGCCATCCCTTTACCTGTGAATATCTGTGCCCAATCAACTTTTGAAAGTTCTTGCCTAGTACCGTCAAAGTTGGCATTCCTCCAATTTAGAACTCTAACTTTTAGATCTGGTTTATCCTTTGTCATAACTATTTTAAAGCTAATGCAATTATGATCATTTACCTCAAAGTGCTTCCCCACTGACACCTCGGACACCTGCCCTGCCTTATTTCCCAAGAGTCGGTCAAGTTTTGCTCCTTCTCTAGTAGGTACGTCCAAATACTGAATCAGAAAATTTTCTTGTACACGCTTAACAAATTCCTCTCTATCCAAGCCCTGAACACTAGGCAGTTCTAATCAATGTTTGGAAAGTTAAAATCCCCTACCATTACCACCCTATTATTCTTACAGATAACTGAGATCTCCTTACAAATTTGCTTCTCAATTTCCTGTTAACTATTGGGGGGTCTGTAGTACAATCTCAATAAGGTTCTTATTTCTCAGTTCCACCCAAATAACTTCACTGGACATACTCCCTGGAATGTCCTCCCTAAGTACAGCTGTAATGTTATCCCTAATCAAGAACACCACTCCCCTTCCTCTCTTGCCCCCCTTTCTATCATTCCTAAAGCATCTATACCCTGGAACATTAAGCTGCCAGTCCTGTCCACATATGAGCCAAGTTTCTACAATAGCAATGATATCCTGCTCCCATGTTCCCAACCATGGACCTGAGTTTATCTGCCTTACCTGTCAGGGCCCTTGCATTGAAATACATAAAGCTAAATTATCGGTCCTACCTCATTCTCTGGAGCAGGAAAGGTGACGTTTCGGGTCGGGACCCTTCTTTGGAAATGGGGGAAGGGAAGGGGTCTCTGAAATAAATGGGGGGGGTGGTTGAACTGGGAAAGGTAGGTGGGATGGTGATAGCAGGTAGGTAGTGGTGGGGATTAGTCAGTGAGGCCAGGGGTGGGGAGATTTTGAAACTAGTAAAGGCAGGATGGCAATATGACCCCACCCTTATCTGCCTTCCGGAGGGACCGCTCTCTCTGCGACTCCCTCATCCGCTCCATGCTCCACGCTCCACACTCCCCACTAGCCCCACCACCCCCCGGCACCTTTCCCTGCAACTGCAGGAGGTGCTACACCTGCCCCTATACCTCCCCCTTCACCCCTATCCCAGGCCCCAAAAAAACCTTCCACAGCAGACAGATATTCACCTGCACGTCCGCTAATGTGGTCTATTGTATCCGTTGTTCCCAATGTGGCCTCCTCTACATCGGTGAGACCAAGCAGAGGCTCGGAGACCGCTTTGTGGAACACCTACGTTCGGTTCGCGACAAACAACAGCACCTCCCAGTCGTGAACCACTTCAACTCCCCCGCCCACTCTCTGGATGACATGTCCATCCTGGGCCTCCTCCAGTGTCACAACGACACCACCCGGAAACTAGAGGAGCAGCACCTCATGTTCTGCCTTGGAAGCCTACAACCCAATGGTCTCAATGTGGACTTTACTAGCTTCAAAATCTCCCCACTCCCAACCTCATCCCAAGACCAACCCTCCCTCTCATCCCTGCCTCCTTGACCTGTCCGTCTTCTCTCCCACCTATCCGCTCCTCCCACCTCACTGACCAATCCCTACTACTAACTACCTGCTATCACCATCCCACCAACTTTCCCAGCCTAACACCCCCCCCCATTTATTTCAGAGCCCCCTTCCTCTCCCCATTTCTGAAGAAGGATCCCGACCCGAAACGTCAGCTTTCCTGCTCCTCTGCTGCTGCCTGGCCTGCTGTGTTCCTCCAGCTCCACACTGTGTTATCTCAGATTCCAGCATCAGCAGTTTTTAATATCTCTACCTCGTTCTCTGTTTTGCTCCTACCTGCCTTGACTACCTGACCTGCCTCCGTTCCCAACCGCACCAGGACCAAACTGATTCCTCTTCTCACTATCTCTGTAGGTTCTCCACCGCCCCCCCCCACCCCTCCACCGCCGCCACCACCACCACCACCACCACCCCCCCACCTCCGCAGCCCCCCTTAGTAGTTTAAATCATCCTGAGCAGCTTTAGCAAGTCTCCCTGCCAGTATATTAACCCCTTCCAATTCAGGTGCAACCTGTCCCCCTTATACAGGTCACTTCTAACCCCAGAAGAGATTCCAGTGATCCAAAAATGTGAATCTTTGTCCCCTGCACCAGCCCCTCAGCCATGCATTCATCTGTTCTACCCTCCTATTACTACCCTTACTAGCATGTGGCACCAGGAGTAATCCAGATATCACTTCCCTCGAGGACCTACTTTTTAACATTCTGCCTAATTTCCTATATTCTCTACTCAGAACCTTGTCCTTTTCTCTTTGTATGTCATTGGTTCCAGTGTGTACAATATCCTCCTGCTGGTGCCTTTTCCCCTTTGAGAATACTTTGCACACTCTCTGACATCCTTGTCCCGGGCATCTGGGAGACAGCGCACCATTCTGATGCCTCACTACTAGCCACGACGATGTTGTCTGTGCTTCTGACTAGTGAGTCCCCTTTCAAAGTTGATCACTTGGAACCTGATGTACTTCCCGTTACATTAGATCCAGTCTTGATTCCAGAAACTTGGCTGTCAGTGATACATTCCCCTGACAATCCATAACTCCCTATCTTTTCCAAAACACCACACTTGTTTGAGATAGGGATGGCCACAGGAGATTCCAGCACTATCTGCCTACCCGTCCTACCTTTCCGAGAGATAATCAATCTACCCAACATTATCTGCGATTTTTCTACGTTTCTGAAACTGCCATCTATCACACCCCCAGCTCCTGTAAATTCTTCATTGACTTTAACTGCCACTCCAACCGATCTATGTGATCCAAAAGATTCGCAATCAAACACACTTTCTGCAGATGTGATCATCAGTTATATGGAAATTCTCTCTAATCTCCCACATCTGACAGGAAGAGCACATCACTCTACTAATGGCCATCTTTGCACTTTTAACGATCTACAGACCTAGAAAATAGCACAGCCTTACTAGTCTAAAAACACTGCTCCAGTGTAAGTTGGTACCTATGTTTTAAATTTTAAAAAAGTTTAATCTAGAGACAAATCTCAATAAACATATTAAAAAATATCACCCTACTCAGTATTATACATTTACAATGAAAAGCACAGTATGGTTAGACTTTTAAAAAAAGCACTTAGCTGTTCCCTTGCTGTGAGAACCTCCCAATACTGAGTTTTTCTAAGGTCAGCTGTGAATTTCACTGTTTGTTTATTTTTCTTAGATCTAACCCCAATATCCAGAGATACTTAAAACTAAACAGCGCAGGCAGTCGGCTGTAAAAGTTCACTGCTGGGCCAGTCAGCTCTGCAGGTTCACTGTTTTTTTTAATCACCTCCCATGTGATCCCTGCTCCCTCTCTTGTTTTAATGTAATGTTGTTTTGATCTTTTTTTCCCAAAGTTCCAAAACAATGCAACAGCTTATAAAAATAGTAATTACTGCTGCAAGAAATCAAAGAAATCATCTCCAACGCTGAAAATACTTCAAAAATGGAGCAGCTCTTACAGCCACAATTTTCTTCCTTATTCTCTGAATTTTCTATAAGTTGACAATGGGAGGACAACCACAGAGCAACTCAACCTCCATGCTGTAGCTATGGTAGCCAAAATCCTTCTAACATAAACACAGTTCAAAAACCAGTTCAAATTCTGGTTTCTGTTTGTTGGACTGGCCTCCCTATGAAGTTCTGGTTACCATGCAAACATCTGTCATTGGAGATTATGCCTCTCTGGGCTCAAAGAATCTGTAGAGTACTTTTAACAAGAATCACCCTGCAATTAATTTCTAGGACTGACCTCATAAACAAGTATCAGTTTGTTTGTTCTCTTCCTTTTATATAAAAAACATACTGTTGCTCACAGTCCAAGGGTCACCTTCAACTCTCAGCTCACAGTTCACAGACCCAAATCAAAAATTATCTTAAAAAATGACGCATCTAAAACTGCATTCGTTTTCATATACTTATTTGAAAATTATACAATTGCTTTAGAAGCTGTTCACTTGATTCATACCTGGGATGAAATGCTACGAAGAAAGTTTGAACATGTTAGCCTGTACCCTTTTTTCCCTCTTGTTGGTCCTTCACCATCTGCTGCAGACCAAGTCTAGCAGCAATGCTGCTGCCCAGCCCCTCTTGGTGGTAAACATTGAAATTCCCCACCCAGAGTACTTTCTGTGCCCTTGCTAGAAAAATGAGAGATGATCTTATTGAAGCACGAGATTCTGAAGGGACTGAATGCTGCAAATGTTGAGACCATGTGTTCTCGGAGAGGAGGTGAAAACTAGGGGACATGGATTAAGAATAAGAGGTTTCCCTTTCAATGGAGACATTTTTTTAACTATGACCTAGAATGTGCTATTCTCCTTCCTAGAAGGTCATGGAAGCTGGAGGGGTATCTTAATCCTTGTGAAGTGCTGTGTAGGAGCAGTCAAAACTGGAGCAGAGCAGCGAAACAATTCATGAGTGATCATTTTCTCTCTTGACACTATTTGTCAAATCACTTGCAAATGATAAGACATGCAAATTTACTTTTTTTTGGGAAAGTGGGGAGTTGGATAAATGCCTTTATACATTATAGCTTATTTATGATCTCTGATGTAATCTTATGTAAATCCATATGTAAATGCAGTCATTTTACATTATGAAAAAACCATCTTCCTGTGCCTATATGTTCACTGTGACACATTCACACTGCTTCCCCATGCTATACCCAATTCCTTCAAGAGAATTTGAGGAGCTATTTTCCTCAACAGGCTATTTAACAGAAGAGTTTAAAAAAATTACTTTTCAAAACACTGATCAACATTCCTCCCAGAGAGTGAGGCATTGAAACAGTTAATTCTTTCAGTGCTTACTCAGTTTAAATATGGAAAAGGTAGGATATATGACTTCCTGGTCTGAGTCACAGCACCTGAATAGAGTTCCACCCACAGGTAAATGCACACACTGACACTGTGGCAGGGTTAAACATCAGGAAAGAGTCCAGAAGGTTCGGTAAACACAGCTGATGACCAGATGTGGACAGGTGAGCAGCTTCAGGATTGGGAGAAGTAGATTTTAACCCTGGCTGAGGGCAATGCTGTGAAGGTTAGTGATGTTATTGTGGAAATATCATCCAGCTCTTGATAATCATCTAACAGATTGACCTTGAATGAATTTAAACTTTACATTTAAACAAAGGAAACTCGTCTGACTGAGGAACTCATAGCCCCATCAGGAAGCATTAAAGGCAAGTTAAAATAAGAGAAACAATTGTACTGTACAGAGCTCCAAACAACTAACTGCCAGAGATGGCCTAGAGGCATAAATGATTGGAATCTCTAATCAGATATCTGATTTCAAATGTCAAAAAGTGATGGAAAGCTTTCACCTGAAAATCACCAAATTGAATTAAACCTTATGGTGATTGAAGTCATTAGGCATCAAGAGCAGGCATTGGCCTAGTGGCATTATTCATAGACTATTAATCCAGACATTGTACCGCCTGGAATTTCTAAGAATCAGATGTGACTTAATAAGATAAATAAGATCACGAGGGAATTTGATGGGGTGGATGTTGAAAGGATACTTCCTCTTATGGGAGAATCTAAAACTAGGGATCATCATTTAAAATCGTCCATCTAAGACAAATGTGAACAAGGAAGTAATTTTTTTCTCTCTGAGGATTGTGAGATTGGAATTCTCTTCCTCAAAATGCTTTGGATGCAGGATCTTTAAATATTTTTAATAGAGAGGTACATAAATTCTTAATGACCAAGGGGATGAAAGATTATTGGGGGAAATGGAGGAATATAGAGTTGATGTTAAAATCAGAGTGGTCATTATCTTAATGAATAACGGAGCAGGCTTGAACAGCTGAATCACCTACTCTTGTCCCTTTCTTGTAGATTCATATGTCCATGAAGTGAAAAGTCTTGTGAGATGGTAGAGGTAGATGTGTAAGGTATTAGGGGCACAGTACTGGCATGGATAGAGGATTGGCTGACTGGCAGAGAGTGGGCAAAAGGGGTCTTTTTCAGGATGGCAGCTGTGACTAGTGAATTTCACAGCGTTCAATTTTGGGACCACAAGCCTTCACATTATACGTCAATGATCTGAATGAAGGAACTGAGGGTATTGTTGCTAAGTTTTCAGATGACACAAAGATAGGTAGAGGGACAGGATGGGTGGCAGGGAGGCTGCAGAAGGACTTGGACAGGCTAGAAGAGTGGGAAAAGAAGAGACAGATGGAATACAATGTGGGAATATGTGAGGTTACATACTTTGGTTGAGTTATGGACCAGACCATACCCCTTCAAAATATTCTATGAAGGCAGCCTAGACCCTAACGCCTTTAAAGGCAAATATAAAGTGTCTGTTCCAGATGCAATGTGACTGATCAAACTAATTGATGTTAAGCAAAAAACAATTTATTTAAGCACTGTAGCTAAAATACAACCAAATAAAGGGGAATTTAAGATAACTTAACTCTGTTGGCAAATTTAACAGAATAATAGATACAGTAACTATTATTAATTAACTATTCCAATATCGTAACATCCCATAAACAGATCCCTTGACAAAAAAAAACTCAGACACAGATTCTCACATGCAGTTCTCCAGTCCAGGAGGAAAAAAACATCAAGAGAAAATTCAGAGACAGTAGCAGCCAGGAGACGTTCACTGAAGCTTTCAAACAGAGACCCCAACAGCTTCTGAAGCTACTCGGAAATCCTGATCTGTCTGAGCTAGCCACACCCATTCAGGCTGCCAAGGCCTCACAAACTGTTTACATTACCCTAGACTATTTCGTGCGTCTGCCTTACAACCTCTCTTTGAAAAAACACAGGGCAAAATAGCCTTTAAAGCCACAGTATCGTCACAGGTAGGAAGAATAGAGTAGAAACGTGGACTATTTTTTAAATAGGAAAAGGCTTTGGAAATCTGAAGCTCAAAAGGATTTAGGAATCCTAGTTCAGGATTCTCTTAAGATTAACATGCAGGTTCAGTTGGCAGGAAGGAAGGTAAATGCAATGTCAGCATTCATTTCAAGAGGGCAAGAGCAGAGATGTACTGCTAAGGCTGTACTAGGCTGCGCTCAGACTGCATTTGAATTATTGTGAGAAGTTTTAGGCCTTGTATCAAGGAAGGACGTACTGGCTTAGAGGGGGCCCAGAGGAGGTTTACAAGAATGACTCCAAGGATTTAGGCCTTGTCATATGAGGAGCAGTGGAGGACTCTGGGTCTGTTCTCAATGGAGTTTTGAAGGATGAGGCGTATCTGATTGAAACTTACAGAATACTGATAGAGTGGACATGGAGAAGATGTTTTCACTAGTAGGAGAGAATAGGATCCAAAGACACAACCTCAGAGTGAAGGGGCAACCCTTTAGAACTGAAATGAGGAGGAATTTCTTCAGCCAGAGGGTGGTGAATCTGTGGAACTCATTGCTGCAGAAGGCTGTGGAGACTAAGTCTTTAAGACGGAGATAGATAGGTTCTTGCTTGGTATGGGGATCAATGATTATGGGGAGAAGGCAGGAGAATAGAGATGAGAAACATATCAACAATGATCAAGTGGTGAAGTAGAGTCAATGGGCCAAATAGCCTAGTTCTGCTCGTGTATCATATAGTCTTATACTGTAGGTGTGTGGCAGATATATGGAGGTAGGCTGCAAATCAACCATGATCTTATTCAACGGTAGAACAGGCTCAAGGGGCTGAATGGCCTACTCTTGTTCCTATGTTTATATATAGAATGTGGAATGAAGTCTCTCTCTCTCTCTCTGGTCTGGGGTGAGAAGTCAATGTTCTATGTTTCTTTTATCACATTTCTTGCCTATCACGTTTGCCCTGGGGAAGATGGTGGTGAGCTACCTTTTTGAACTGATGGATCCAACAATGAAGGCCACTCGCAATTCTTTGCTGTTCTGGATGACTGAGGTTGCAGGTTTGTGGGCGGAATTCTCTAAGGAAGCTTGCTGAGTCATTGCACTGCATTTTCGAGATTGTATGCACTGAATACTTTGGAGGTGAAGGAAATGAATGTTGAAGGTGGTGGATGGGATGACTGTTAAAGCAGGCTGCTTTTCCTGGATAGTGTCAAGCTTCTTGAGTGTTGTTGGAGAGTATTCAATCACTCTGCTGACTTGTGTTTGTAGATGGTAGACAGAGTTTGGAGAGATCTGAGCTTAGTTACTCACCCCAGATCAGTTTCTGGTCGATTAAGACCCTAGGATGTTAAGAGTGGGGTAACTTAATGATGGTAATGTATCCCTAACTCTGATCTTATGATGGAGCAAAGGTCATTGATGAAGCAGCTGAAAATGGCTGGGCCTAGACACTACCCTGTACTAGGCTCTGGTCAGACTGCATTTGGAATATTGTGAGAAATTTTAGGCGCTGTATCTAAGGAAGGATGTACTGGTCTTAGAGGGGGGTCCAGAGGAGATTTACAAGAATGACTCTAAGGATGAAGACCTTGTCATATGAGGAGCAAAGATGTCCTGTAGCTGAGATGACTGAGATCACTGGCAGGTTTCAAAGATGATTGGGAGAACATTCACATTTTTCTAATAAGAGAAACAGTAAAAGAAGAAAAAAGCAGAGTCTTCAGCTGGACCCGATCTCTAGGTTTACTCAAAGATGCTGCAAGACATTGTTGAAATCAAACCTTGAGCTGGATTTGATAGTATCCTGGGCTCCTGCTCCTGTAATGTTGCTGCTGTGACCACACTCATTGTCCATTCTGATTATTGCTGGGAGCAGGAATTAAGGGTGAATCAGGGAGTGGGAGTGGAGGGGGTGGGTCGGGGGGAATGCTGTCAGTGGGGCCAGGGTAGCACCCCAGCAGTGCGAGGTGGTTTGGGGGTTGAGGTGGATAGGCTGTGGGGGTTGGGGGGTGAGGGGTAGTGGTTGGTGCTGGCTGGGAATCAAATGGGGAATAGAACCTCCTGAAAGGTCATTAAGGTGGTTGACTTCTTGCATGTGCAGTCACACTCGATGGGGTCTCTCCTGCTGCTGGTTCTATCCCAGCAGACTTAGGTCCTCAAGTAACCATTAATTATCCTCAAGTAACCATTAATTATCCCAGCAGACTTAGGTCCTCAAGTAACCATTAATTAGTTTCTTAATGGCCTCATTTGGGCAGTGGGCTGGCCTCCTGATGCCTCTAGCTAGCAACCCCTGCCCATAAAATTGTCGGGGAGCAGGTAGACCGTGGATGCTGTGTCCGTCCCAGAGGGAAAACTAGGACTACTTGGAAGTGAATGTACCGGGCATAGTGGAGCTTCATTTTGAAATATATGGCTTGGAGCAGTTTGTGTTATTCATTGTTGTGTTCTTTCTGCTGATGTGCCATGGAGCCTGGAGAGATTTCAACAAGGTCAGCCAGGTGGACCTCATATGAGTTCCCTGATTGAGGCTGTTAATCTGGTCCAATCAGGGAGCCCTGGCTGATAGATAACAACAGGCTTGTCAGACATCCTGTTCGCTCTGAGAGCTGGCTCTGAGGGAGCTGAATCAGTGTCAAGGACTTTCCATGTGTAAATAAAGGGTGACCTGGTGATGGGATACTGGCCTCTGTGGAGTTATTTCTGTGGCGATAAGAGAAAAACATGCTCCTGAAAGAAATTTGCTCACAACAATCATCTTTTGAGTTGGGGTAAGCATTTCTGGCATCATGCTGTACTTTGGGAAGGTTGACTCATTTGATCCTGCCTTCGAAGACTGGGCCCAGAATGTAGAAAAAATGCATTATTTCTTCCAGGTAAATGACATAGAGACAGATGAAAAGCAAGAGTAATTCTCCTGACAGCTCCTGACCCGCAGCTTTCTTGGTTATTAGGAGCCTGACTCTTGCTGAGGCATCTGATACTAAAACCTTTCAAGAGTTGACAGATTTAGCTAAGAATTATCAAGACCCCAAGCTTCCACTACTTCTGAGATGCTATCAGTTTCACTTGGCAATTCAAGAAGCAGGGGAGTCCATATCGGGATTTTTGACAAAGTTAACTCAACAGGCAGAGGCATGTGACTTTGGTTTAACCCTTAATGAGATGCTGGGGGATCAGTTGAAATGTCGGAGTACTGATGCAACCATGCAAAAGC